TGTCGAAAGTTTGGACTACGACGGAGCGGCTGTAGTCGGTTGGAAAATTACCTGCTCCCACATTTGCACTAGTAACTCATATAAATCATCGAAAAGTGCAGATCCCCGAATTTGAAGAGGGTTGGAGGAAGATCATCTGGTCCCGCGGCTTTATTTATCTTCAACAGTTCGTTCTCACGTTCGAATCCTGAACGAGAGCGTGGATCCAAAGGGACAGTCCACGGAGCGGGGCGATCAGTGCCCGGCAAGAAATCTAACCACTCCGACCGATTGAATTGCCTTTTAAAGTGCTCATCCTTACGATCCAAGCGTTTTGATAAGTTGTGGATAGGCTTTGCACTCTCGTCACAAATTGTTTCGTTAACACCAGGTCTCCTGCTACCCGATTCCCGTAGCAGACGGAATAACTTGCGATGGTTACCAAAGGCAGCGGCCATTTTCATCTCTGATGCAAGATGAGACCACCAGGATTCGCGGTCTCTCTTCAGGCTAGCACGGAGTTTTGCCCGGAGCTCTTTGCAAGTTTCATTGTGTTCACGTCCAGCCGGAATATGCCGACGAGCATCTATAAGTCCCAGAGAATGTGAAGAGACCCACTGTCCATGTTGGCGACTAGATATACCAAATTAGGATTTTCCTGCTGCAAGTAAGGTCTGGTGAATATGAGACCAGTGAGCTTCAACTGCAACCAGTGAGCGTTTATCCAACTCGCATGACAGCGTACTTTGATTTGCATTCAGAACAGCTGATTTCGCCTGTTGGCTAGCGTCAATGCGCACACAACGTCGTGGTAGGCGTCCGCCAAAGCGCATCCGCACGTCAGCACACACAAGTGCATGGTCGGTGTCCACACCCGTGCTCCAAATGGAGCGACAGTTCTGAATGCAGCCTCTCCAGCGGTAACTGATTGCAATGTGATCGATTTGCGTCCAAGACTGGTTCGAGGCTGGTGTGCGCCAAGTCACCCTACGGTGGGTGCTGCGTCGGAAATTAGTGCTCGCAAGAAATAAGCGAGCATCCTCACACAAATGAAGTAACCGCTCACCGTTATCATTACGGGAGCCTACACCATGTTGGCTGCCCAGATGCAGCTCATCGGTGGATAATTTGCCAACTTAAACTTTCAGATCCCCGGCCAGCACTACAGTGTCCGAGTTTCTTCTGTGGCGCAGGAGTTCGTTCCTTTGATGATAGAAGTCGTCTTTTACTGAGTAATTGCTACGGTTTGTGTGTGCATAGGCAGCGAAAACGCATAGACACCTGTTAGTCCCACAGGACTTCGAAGTTTTGAACGAGCCAGCCAATCGGACCGCACATATCGGGCTACCGATTGGAACACAGTCAACCAGGACAGCTTCAGCCCTGGGACTCAGGGCAATACCAACACCGGCTTAGCCTGTGCTCGAAGCTGCATTGTCACCGGATAGGCGCAGTGAGAAAGTGCTGCTAGAGTCACCTGAAAGAGATCGTAAAGTGAGCACAGAGCTCGAGTCTTGCAGGCGCGTCACTGATAGGCAGCCGATATAGATCGAGAGGGTCTCTAATTTTCGGGCAAGTGCTGCCTGTTGACTGATCTGAAGCAATGTGCGTACATTGAGGCATGACAATCTGAAGGAGGATCAAGGGCTCCAAATGGAAGTCGATGAACTTCGCTTGACCGCTTGGTTGGACATGGGCCTGTAGACAGGGCAGGAATGACGCTCCGCGTTCACATGTGAGTTTAAATTAGAAGGTAAATGCCTAGCAAAGCATGTTGGGGGAGGGCCAATAATTGAGTTTTGAAAACAGGGGGGATAAAAGTGAATTTGGAACGGAACGACAAGGGTGAAAAAGCGTAAGCGGGGGAATAAGAAGACAGGAAGTCTTGAGCAATAGCATCCAAACCCTATCTACCCTGCTCGATGCAGTAGATAGGGCACCGTTGATTATCCTCTGCGGTGGCCAGAGCGTGAAGAAATTGTTTGACCTAAGATTCATAGTATTGCGTGAGCAAGATACTGCCAGGTTGCCCAGGCTATAACAGGGGAACGATTAGCGTTCTCAACCAAAGCCTTTGGTTCAACAACCTGTTCACAAGGCAGCGGGTTTGGCACTGGGCTACAAGGAGTCCGTTTTAAGGAATAAGGAGCCACCCACATTTCAACCCTCAACCTGGAGGACCAGGAGGCTGAGTTTGTCTGGCCTCTAACCATTGACCAATCTGGTATGAGTGGCTCTGAAGGTGCAAAAGCACCACCCAGTATAGCTCGATGGATCACTGGGGCACACAAACAATCGCACCACGGTAAGGGCCAGCCTCATTGCGACGGGCCTAGTTTAATGGATCATGCAATATATATATATATATATATATATATATATATATGTAAACCAATAATGGTCCATGGCCACGTCATCTACTTATCTGCATAATTCATTGATTAATTGGTATTATATGTAATAAGTACACCTGATTAATGGCTACTTCAAGTGAACATTTGGTATAATGATTTTGTATTGTGCTGCACAGTGTAAGTACAAAGAAAGTTAAGTGCTTCCATTAGTGAGGCATTCGTGAACTGAGGTAACCGTCTAGAGAAAACATTCCATATCCTAAGATGTTCATGGTTATAAACTTTTCAACTAATTGGAAAGTGTCCGTAAGTTGATGATGTGTTATACTTTTCCTAATAAGATCAAACATATATATTAACCCTTTGCAATGGCGTGATATGGCGAGTTCCTCATATCTAATACTGGTAGCAATGGTTAACTCCGATTGTGTATCTTTGGGAGACCGTAAAGTCTAGAAATTATGGATCCGGTGGGTCTTAGCCTTTAATATCTGTCTTTAGTCATATGGCCAATAGTGACCAGTGGTCGCTAACACCTTGTCAATTGTGCTTCTGTGTAATCGTTTTGTCCTCCTTTTGCTAGCAAGATAATTAAAACTGTGAAAACCGCGGTCTGTATATCTACGTAAATTTTTGGCATAACAAATTGTACACAAGAGCGATTTGGTTATCCAACCTAAAATATTATGCTGGTAAATATATAAAACTGCTTTGCGTGGCAAAGCCATCAAGTTTGAAGTTGAAATACCAAACCATATTTTGCAATAATGCATACGTGAAATTTCATCACATATGAACTCCGTCAGATAGCCAATACACTCCCGCAAGTACACTCAACGGCTGTTTCAACCTTTCGGAAATCGGCGGTAGTGCGCAACCCATCTGACTCCTGAGAGAGTCCGATCCAACAACTCGACTGTTTCCTGTCTGTGCTTAAGGGCACTGACCTAAGTGAGATAGTAAGTGCCGTTGTGACCGACCTAAATGCTTTTCCCAGCGTGTTATGTCTGTTTAGGTGAGCCTGGATGTGATGAATTTTCACTTCTACCATTCGCGTCCTCTTACTACTCCTCTTTATTCAATAGCATGTTAAAGGATCTATATTTCTGCAAGCTAACTGATGATTTAAGTTTGGATATTTCGTTAGTTCGTGAGGAATCCAGCCTACAAGGAAGTTATGTGCAAGTCAGTGGAGAGCAAACAGCCTTTATTAAAGCTAGTAATTAAATCACAACTTTCGTTAACGTACATCGTAGTTGTGTTGTCAACCACAGACAGGTAAAAGTGGAGTATAGAATTAGTGCCAAACGGGATTCAGATGGAATGCGCAGGACGCGCGATACCCGAAAGTATGAAAGACCCGTGCAGTACCTTTTCGGGCTTGCAAAGTCTGTTTGACTGAGTCTCCATGTGATGAATTTTTAAGTATACCATTCATATCTCCCTATTTACCTTTTTGAATCTAATTCTAAATTCTAATTAATTTATTGAAATGATTACATTGCATCACGAGGTTACAATATATATATTACAAATTTATGAACTGCATTACATCCTTATACGGTTCCGCTATTACTTTCATTTCTGGTTAACACGAACACGCATTTTGAACACATTCCCCTCCACTCAATTCATGCTTTGATACTTTTTCGCCGTGAACGACTTCTGCAAGCAAAATGTACACTTTACTTCCAACCAGGTTATTGTGCCCGCGTGGTCTCTGTGTTATGTTAAAATCTGCAATTACCCTTACCTTAGTGGTCAGTTCTGGGATGATGAACTAGGGGCCAGGATATAGATATTCAGTGCCTTTCAATGTGAAGAAAGTTACCACTATTGTCAAAGATACTTTTGACAAACCGTTTCAGGTTGCGATAAATACAACTATGTCTCATCTGGTTTATCGGTAGACATATTTTTATTAACTGTAACATTTTTCTCAACTAACTTGAGAATAAAATGAAGAAATAAAATAAAACGGATAAAATGAGCATCACCATGAATTTTGATCCGCCCACTGATTTACAAATCAGGATGAGTTAGCATGAATTCGACTGAAGATCATAAACGGTCATTAAATTTATGTGAGTAAAACGGGGACTACTACTATCATGGAACAGTGTCACCGAAGCAGTGAAGAGTTGCCTGTTGTAATTCTTGGTCACCGCGGACAGAAGACAAAATTTGCGATATACATATCTGTTGGGTCACGAATCTAGATTGCATTTTCTAATAGCTGCTCAATTACATTGACTACAACACAACTATTGTGGCATTAGCTGCTTATCAGCTTCCTTACAGGCGAGCGACCTACTGCTAAACATTGTGGCTGGATTTCATGCTTACAAACTAAAATGCTAGAGATCGTGCTCTTTTATTGCGATCAAGCTTATATTTTGTAAAAGATAAGCGAACACATCAGCAAGTTACACCATTATACCCATTTTAAAATACACTTCAGACAATAAAACTTCAAGTGTTTAATAATTGCTTCGGGTTCTATCGTTACCTGAAACACTCTTTTGGTACAACCTCTCATTCGCTGTTGCTTTTAAGAAGGTAATTAGTTAGGGGGTGGGAAATAGCTGCAAATTACACTAAGGCCACCAGATCAGTTCTAAATTCCCATTGGATTTACGGTCATTTTCCTGCTTTTTATTTTTTCAGCCGCACCTGGTGATCCAGAACTAATCGGTTTACATCAACGAGGGAATCAGTCAGCAGTTTACGACTCAGGTGCATCATTGGATTTCACCTGTCGCTCCATACCCGCAGGCAATCCACCAGGTGAGCTGAGCTGGCGAATGGAACGAATGCGCCGAAGTGCACAAATGGACACGGCAGCTCCCTTTTCTCATGCTAGCGGTGGTGTTGGAGAATATCTGCACAAAATATACTTGATACCGCCGGAAAGTGTGATTTATCAGTACACTGATGATAAATTGTTGAGCAAAGTCAGAATACCGCGGTTGAATGCCAGTCACCACGGGCTCGATCTGGTGTGCGGTGTGAAAAATCAAGCAGGACCTGAAAAGACTGTCCGGAAGACTATTCTCGTACGACGTAAGTTCAGTCGGACAAATAAAACGGCACGCTAACCCACCATCAGCTAGAATAGAAAACAACATGCAAGTAACTCGAAACTAGAGTTAGACTCATAATTTGTAAGATATCCTGCTTCATAAACACTGGTTTTATTTCACTGATTGCTCGAGGTCAAAGTGAAGGTTACAAGTTACAGTAATGCAAGTATAGGCAAATGCAAACCAAACTGCTATTCCGCATGTGACGTGGCAAGCAAAACTGTTCTGTAAGGGACCCAAAGGTCTTCTGAGGGTCAAGAGCATTTCCAGTGTTTGGTTTAGCAAATCCTGCTGGTAGAAATACTATACTTGGACTTGCTTGCTATTATTCCTTTCAAATCTTTAGAAGACTGTTAGAAGCACATTGATTTGTACGCGTCAATGCAGGCTATTAACCGTTGGATAGGAAGCCTATGTAATCGGTGAGTCAGATTGCTTATATAATGCATCAGTCAGCATGCATCGGCGTTATAAGGTTCTCCACAGCATAGATCTAGTTGGTGAATAGTTCGGGCAGATCTACGCAGTGAAATGACCAGTGGAATTAACTGGCCATCATTGAGTTGAGTTAGTCCAAGATAATGCATTATTCGAAGTCTAGAAATAAGAGTGTAAAGTTAGCCAGGCTGCCGAAAGAAGCATATTAATCACAATCTTTTTTCTTACAGAGAAATCAGTTTAGTCGAATTTTAAAAATTCCGTTTCTAATATTCGCAGTATGAATGAAGCCAGTGTATGGACGATTTTGGTTACTTAGCTCCAGGTGCACGGTTTTTGAGTCAGGTAGGGAATGTTTTACATGTTTCAGTGGTGTAGCGGCAAGCGGTGAAGTCATGAGCAAAACTATGGTCTACAAACCCTCAGATGTCCTACAACAGTCTCTTGGGAACAACAACATGAACAGTTTAAGCATTGATAACGCCGCATTGAAGTGTTCAGTGTATAAGACAAATAAGCGAGCGTGTGACCGATGCCACCTTCGAGACATATGCACATGGAACTAGTTATATGTGTTGAGGGTCGTGCAGGACGGTGTATCTACAAATGTATTTTGCCACAGAGTTAAGCTACAAATTCAGTTGCACGAATTTGCTTGTAGGCTGGATGCATTCAAAGACGAACAGCTATGCACTGATTCACAAACAAGAAGCTAAGTTACCATGGGCCCTTTCTCACTGAGCATGGTAGAAGCCAGAGGGAAATGATAAGCACTTTGATTAGCTAACTCATAGACGGATAGAATGTTGTAAGATGGCTTAGCTTTTGAAGAAACATCAATCACAAATACTTTTGAATTTGACTGCTTTGTAGGAATCCGTGCTTCTATTGGCTTTACACGCTTATCCGATGCTGCCAATAATTTCATACCAAAACGCCGTCGAATACAATGAGATGAGGTAGCTGGTTTGAGCATCCTATAAGCCCACTGAAAGAGACCCATCTACCAACAATATAAGTCAATCAATTTTAGTATTCACTTATTCAACGAAGCAGCAGTGACTGCTTAGATTATTGTAGGCTACTTGCGTCTTAATCTATATCCACCGGACAGTGCGTACCCACTATTTGTCCAAACCATGGACGATTTCTGATTCCTATTCACGGTGCTCCAAATTAGTTTGATTACTCATGCAGTTATCCTTTAAAGAAATCGCAATATTGCATTTAATGTGTTTGGAATGACGTGAGAATAACTGATACGTAGTTGCGCATTTGTCACATAAAACGAGAAAAAGGCTTGTTTCACTAAACAAGTGGAATTCATCAATGCACTTGATCCACTGTATTTATATGTAAATTTTTCTAGGAGTATAGCGGTAGTTTTCAAATTAGATGGCTCTCCACATGCCCGATAAACCACTTGATGTTCGGTTCTTCGTTAGTGCGTATCCATCGGATGCAAATGCATCCGAACCCATGGCATAGTGGCGTAAACCGTTGGCTGGATATGCAGGCCGCTAGTGTATATGGGCTTAGATCTTCATGGATATGAGGAGTACGCAATGTTGAAGAGATACAAAACGTAGGAACCAGACGGCTACTGACTTTTCGTCGTACATATATGATTTAGATAATACAGCGAAAATTTCCCAACTAATTTGTGTCTAAACTCCTCTAGTATTTAGTGTATAGTTATGCATTTATAACGCTTATGCTTGAGCATTCTGAGACGAAAGCATATGCTAATTTGTCATCCTTTAGCCAAGTGCTTTGGTTCCGAACCACGGTGATTGGTAAAATAATAATGGCCATGCTAAGCATTAAGTTTACTTGGTATATTTTGTTCGTTTAATATTGAAAACAAGCCAAAGGTCTCACTGCAATTGCGACCGTAAAGATCCTCATACAGTTTGTTATTCATCCGAGCACAACTCACCCTTCATAAACCGTTTAAATGGCGAATGGAGCTCAGTCACCTTCTTTAAAGTTACCATCCACCTTCTAGCTGAGTTTTGTATTAAACGTTCACGCTGAGGAATGCTATGAGGCTGGGCGACGTAATCTACGACATGATCCAATATATACAGCGCATTCCTTAAAGAAAGTGATCATTTCAAGAGGATATGGTTCAATTACAATTGATTTTCTTTCACTGGCAGAGACGTCAGACACTTAAGTCAAGTTTGATGCCGGGCTTCGTTAGCAGATAAAGATTGAGGAGTGCTTTCCTTAACTTACGAGGTTGTGTACCTGTTCATATGCTGAAAATGCAGGGTATAAACAGTTTGTCTATTACAAGGAATAATGTGATTCGTAATGTGGCCTGTGTTTTTAAACCTGAAACTAGCTTACCCAAAATTAAACTGGTCAAGTAAAAGTAATATTTACACAAACATCAGGCAGCTTCTATGCTGCATGCTAGAGATAATCATTTTGAATGGTTTTTAAGAGCTTTACAAGGGAACAAAATGAATCTTTCCTCAAAATGTCACAAGTTTATTTCAAATACCCCGTGAACTCGCGTGCTCCCTCATATGAGTGCTCACCCAGATGCCAGTCACTTGGGACGACACACAGGGTGGCCTGTAAGCGAAGACGGACAGTGTCAGTGAGTCAGAAAAGTTAAGATCGTATCTTTGGCGACCCCCAAACGTGTTACTAAATTCCTGACCACGATTAGATTCTGAAAACACAAAGAAATTGTAGCGCCCATGCCGCAACATTAATTTGCAGTTTTGGTTTTCTTTCCTGTTTCGCTAGCTGTTACATGTATGCCACCTTAAGTTCCGTATAAAATTGCTGAATAAAGGCAATAAACAACACACGGAAGTCTCCATTCAAGGATCATGACATGGGATGAGTTTATTAGTCAATAGCAAACATACATTTTAAAGGAAAGCTCATCAAAAGTTTATCAGCGTTTGGAAATACACTTGGTGCATTGGCTTGGGGTGTAATTAAAACGCCAGTAAGCACAGCAAGACAAGGCATCCATATTGTTGGATTTTATTCGCGATATTTTGACAGATAGATTAATAAGCCAATAAATCTATAAATTAATTTACTGCTGGTTTTGACGAATGTTCAGTTGTTTGCTGCTAGGCGAAAGACTATTAGCAGAACCTCCCTAAACTAATCGAACTTTTTAACTTATTTGACCGCGCTTCTGACAGAATTTGGTGAAGGTTTGTGCGCGAGTGTAGCAAAGGATAATATTTCGTGCGGTAGAGTAGTTAGACACTAAGATTAAACAGCAATTCTACATGGCATAATACGTTTGCATATTATCCGAAATTAATCTTGGTGAAAGGTAGCTAAAATGTTCTGGTGACTTTGAGATGATGGTGTACCTTAGTTGGGATGCTAGCAAGTATCCACACGGGTCCATCCTGAAATATTTCCTAATGGCACCAAAATGATAATACATGCTGTATAGTTACTGTATCTTATTTATTTATTACAATGAGCTAATTTAATTTTGTTTAGTTAAATGTTACAATTAATTTTTTAACATAATGTTGGCTCCTATCTAGTACATTTAAAAATATAGTTGCAACGCATCACATAGTAGGTTATCTATACTTACAAGTGTACACTTTCAGAAAAGTTTAGATGTTTACATGCGTCTGCGTAGAATTTAGGTCGTTACAACACATGAGTTTATCGTACTGGACGTTTGTGCCAAATGCCAGAAAGTCAAACCTAATACTAACCATTTGCCATCGCAATTTAGATAGCCCGAACAGCGTGGCGATCCACGGACCAGAGGAGACACTTACAGCCGTAAAAAGAAAATTCGTCCCAAGAATATCTTCTCATAGACTTGCAGAAATGGACCGAGCACAAAATCGCAACGCTTTGTTGTATATTCATCCTGACCGACCGCAATATTTACTGTGCTTGACGTCTCCATATTTCGACAAAGCATTCATTAAATGGTACGCATTTCTGGAGGGTCAGCTACACTGGCTGGAAATACAACCAATGGAAGCATTCCAGATAACGCTGGAAGATACCGAATTTAGTTATATTCTTGTCTCAGTTGTCCAACTGGTAACCACCAACTTGGAGCCAAATGCTTTACTAAAATGGAGTGCAATCAAATGCGTTAGCGAAGGAATGGACCATGTAACAAACTTGTCCAACTCATCAGCTGAGCATGTTGTCAGACTGAAAGCATACGGTTAGTTCCCTGAAATATTCAATAACTGATGCTATATTTTTTATCTTCCAATGGCCTTAACGCTTCAGAAATACTCATTATATAAGAAAACCACACATCCTATTATTCGCAGTGACATGCTGAGCTAACCAAGACTCACGTGTTTTGTCGGCAAATGTCGCATCGCGTCGAGTTGTTTTCGAATATTGGGAAATTCTAAACTGTTGTTATTCTACGTTTAGATTAGGCGAGAACTCATAAGAACAGCATCAGCATGCTAGTGAAAAAGGAGTTTAACTTCATTGGATAACATATTCGTGGTAACAGCCAGTAACATTCACTGAGTTAGGGTGTATTTTGACAGAAGAAGAAATGTGAAAAGAGGTGCGAAAACTGCATGGTACCATGTATACGTATGTACACTTTTTGTTCAATATTTAACTTTCATTTTATTCACCGTACGTCCACCATAACCTGATTCTGAAAGGTAAGTGTGCCACAAACTATTCACTTCCCACGCAAAGAAATAAAATTAAGGGTTTTACAAATACCAAGTAAAAGTCTGTATCATATACCGTGAGGAATGTGGGCTGAGAGGCATATGTTTTTAACAAAGTATTTCCTTAACATTGATACAATAGATAACTGCATTTACAAGTTTTAACACGATCTTTCCTTGGCGCAAAATATCCAGATTGTGTCAACATGGTGTGATCAAGCTAACCTAATGGTCAGTTTCTATCAGCGTGGTATAAATGAGAGAAGAATTTCGAAACGAGGGGTCAGCACTTCTAATCACAATTCAGGTAGACGCACTGACCTTTACCAATTGCAAGCTGATAAAGCTGATTTCTGTAGTTTCCAATATATGAAATCAAGCATCGCATTTGCATTGATACAGTATCCGGTAAACGATAACACCATATCCCCGGAGCACACAGTTTCCTCCACAATCGTTCATCTACTGCTAATTTGTTATTTGCACACACTATCTTGACAGAATTATTTGATGTCGGAGCTGGGGTAAATGTCGTTTACTGGATTTCTCAAAAGAATTTCATAACACAAATCATTAGTCCCTTCTCGAGACGCCTCTAAATTATGGATTAGGTTGCAAATGCTTGGGTTTAGTTAATAGTTTAGTAAGTCAAAGGGGATCCACGTCCGCCGCAAAATGTCGTCGGGTGCGATGTACAAAAAGGCTCGGTGGTAGGGTATACCTTGTTTCGGGTTTCATAAAAGATTTAGTGAGGACGATTGTTTTTCATCGCGTAATCTTCATAGATTTTTAGGATATGTCAGAATTCACTAGATCTGACCCCAGCAAGTTTTTGACGCGAGGTAGAATTAGTCAGCGTAAAGTACCCTGTCACTCCATGTAGACAAATGTGGGGTTAGAATACACTATACTTATGTTTATATATATTCGCTTGGTGTACACAGCTTGCGGATAATTTTCCGGTAAAACGACATTAGTTTGCTTATAACGAACGACCTTATCTTTTCAAAACAGCTTGAGGTAGCTGCAAAATTAAGCAGCCAACATGTTTCGACTCATTAGCCTTTGCAATGAAGTGCAATTCTTACATGCGCCAAAACGTCGAAAATGCTATCTAATATTTACAACCTTGACTAAAACGTGACTTGGGGGTGATACGGAAACAACAGCAAACACCAAGGGTACACGCCTTTTTCCTTAATAGCTGAAGACACTCGGTTTTCAATGGCTGCTGTCGACAGCTATGTGGAGGCTTCATAATGTTTCACCCATAATCTGTAACCCAGTCACGTGTGTGGCTATGTACTGAAGCTTCAACAAACTGGGGGGCTCAGAAAGTCTCCAAAAACCAAGTAAAGAATAGAGCTGCGTACAATCCCGACGGGACTGCGTTTCACTTTTGGCCAGCTAACTTTGGGATTCTCTTCTGGAGTTCCGCCGTTTCTATCCCTACCGCAGATATTTTCAGCAAATTATTAGACGCTATATAACTCACATTCCATTGGTACATAGGATGTGATGTCTAGGAATAGGTGTTAAGTATTCAAACTGGACATGTACTTTAAGTCGATAATAAAAGCGGTGCAATAAGTCAAAATGGACCGTCCATCAGATTGCGTAATATTCTATCATCTAATTCCGATTACACCCCATCGACTTGCAGCATGCCAAAACTGATACTATAAATGACATTCTTCACTGTAAATGTTTAAACACTTACATTTTTATCTGCGTATTGTTCATGATCACAAAAATACACACAAAATTATTTGCACTCGATGTTCCTGAGAATATTCAAAACCGGGTACATCTGCCAAAATATTAAATACGCGAACGGATTTCATGCAGCTTTACCGAACTGCATGAACTACAGAAGTCAGATACAAAATGATTGTAATTACTACCTCTGTCATGTAAAATATCCTTGTTTTCTAATGGCTAATATCTCTCCGCAGGCACTGCTTGATGAGGACTGTGCTGTACGAACTCACTAAATTTTGAGTAGACGAGCTGACTTTATCCAATCTATCCACTTCGTACTGTCAACATCAGGTAGACATTCCATGTTTTGAAAGATGCTTCACTACAGCAAACAACAATTATTCATTATATGTGCTAAGTAGAAACATCTACACACTAGATGAAATTGTGCAACGGCAAAGATTATTTCAAATAAAAGTACAAAGCAAATGACTTGCTTAGCCGATTTCCGTACTTTTAAAACATGGCATTTTAAAGGCATGAATTGTTTCTTCCTCAACTTTAAAAGTGTAAAATCACAGTAAACGCCGATAAATTGCAAAACATCCTCTTGGTCTTCGTCACTTCTCTGATAAGATAAATTAGCAAAAATAATCGCACAAGCGAATATGCACGTAAATGTGCATGCAAACACGACAATTAAATTCATAAAAATGGCGTTGTCAATCGATTGTGGTGCCTATTATGGAGAAAAACGTTAGGCGGGATATGACGTAGGGCCTTCATGCTACTTATAAATACCAGGTTATTCCAGCTGATTGATATGGCTTACCAAATCCATTCCTTTTGCGAATAGAGATTTCAAATAAATTATGACGGATATCACATACTATAAAAAGTAAGAAGTCAATTTATTGGACGCATGACTGAGAAAGCTGACATCGAATCGAGTATTGTGCATCATAAATATTAACAATGATCTTAAAATCTACGGCATAATAAATAAGTGGCTCATCCTTACTTTAATAATCATAAACAATGAGCATACCCAAAGCAATAATACTTCCCAGTATTTTAAGTGCAAAATGCTTTTCAGACTTATTGGGCTTGAAAAAATCCTAAAACCGGCTAGCACTGTTATATGATAACACTGTGAAGATTTAAGAGTAGTAAGTCCGAAAGTGAAAACAACACTCAACTTTGATACAAAAGCTCCCTACAATCTAGCGTCTAATGAAGGTCAATCATTCTCTTTACCAACACGCATTCCCTCAATGATCAGGGGCTGATCCAATTTGTCGAAGTTTGTTGAAAGACCTATATGGAACAGAGTATGAACAACTTCAAACTTACTTCCATCGTAATTACTCGCTTGTGGGCAAAGAGCCAACCGTTCGACAAAAACCGTTACCTGCTAAACAGTAACTAAATTTACTTTCTAACTACACGGCCACGCTTCTTACTTGGGTGAATCACCTTAGTGCATCGCTCGTGCGTTCTTAACTTCAAGCATGATGATGAAGTATCTGGTTACATGCTAATACCTACCGTTTTGCATAGCATTACTATTTGTTAACATATAATGCACGTCTAGGTTGATATTCTTTTACTTAGTTCTTTATGCTCACAAAAATTAAGGCACTTAGATCCTCTTCTTATCTAAGACATAGTCCGTAAGTACCCGGTCAAAAAGTAAGTACCTTCCTTCGGCTTCGAACTGCTTGCTGGAGTCCAACGTGTTCCTTGTTGAGGAACTATATCTGCACAACTGTCAGAGAAGAAGATAATGTTTAAGCTCTTAAGAATACTGGATAAACAACCTCGAATATAACGAATTACACATCTTCAACCCATAGTTCACATGTTTAAAAATAGCTCAAAATTGTCCCATTTGGCTGGCATTAATTATTTAACACTAAATAGTTGGGTTAGCATTGGCATATTTATTTGTAACTTAGGTGGATCTCGGCTACTAGACGGTAGCCATAACACGTGAGAGACGCACCAAATGCTGAACGGTAGAGAAGAGAGGTCCCTGTACCCAACGAAGATTGTACTAGATAAAATTAATGAAGAGAGAATCAACAAGTTCGAGGAACAGAAGTGTTTATGAATGTTCAATCAGTAAAAATGGGATAATCAGATGGCACAGAAAACAAAGCTTGCATGTAATGAAAGATTTAATGAATAGATATATAGGATTCACCACAAGTATTTCGGTTTAAAATGGTATTATTCTAATTGCAAGAAGGATGGTGATTTATCCTGTATACAGAAAGCATATAGAAATGTTTGCTACAGATGTTATATTTCAGGAAAACTGTACAAAGTTACAAAAATCTATGATGCTTTTATTCCTAATACATGTGCTTAGCATTGGACCGGGTAACTTTGGTATGCAATGACTGATTATAATAGCATCGTTTATGTTTTTAATCTCCCAGTACCAGTTCATGCAATAGGGTTAGAATAGTATCCTATTTGGCAATGGGATTAGTATTCTCACCCAAGTTCAGATACAAGAAATGTTTAAATGATAGGGATCATAACGCAGACCAGTAATTCCGAAATATTCCTAAGGCGGATGTCCGCTCCAACGAATCACCACGCTTCAATACTGAATCCATAAAAAACAATGCAATAGAGCTCACGAAATTTGTGTTCATCAACAACATTTCCTGGATTGCTATCACAAAAGTGTGCTTACCGGCAGATTTTTTATTCTATTTGCTCTGTGGTTACCTGCAGTAGATGCGGAAGCTTGAATTCATTGCATTTCGTTGCCCTCAAAGCATCATCGTGAAACTACAAGGTATTTTAGGCAATGACGTCCACAGTGGCCAAGTAATAGCTTTTGATCTTTATGGGCACTAATCGTACTTGAGCTCTTCGTCAATTCTTTATTTTGAGCCAACATCATCTTGAAAATAAGCGTCCGTCATACATTTTACAAGCAGCACATCAGAAAGTGATAGTTTCGATATAACCCATCCCAAACACTGTTGATAAATCTTGATTATTTTCAGTCTTCAATTTTCCAAAGTTAAAACCATGAGATGAGCACAGGTGTGCAATTTCCACTACTTCCGTTTCCTGGTCCAACAGCAGACCTAGTATTTGTAAATACAACGAGAGGATTTTTTAGTGTTTGTAAGCTAAATCCAACCAATCAAATAATTATATTTGTTAGTAATCGTCTTAAACAGTACATTATTTAAAAACAATTATTATTTTGCGTGTGTTATTTTGTTAAGCTTCCTACACAGTCCATTAATTGACTTGCACAGAGTCACCCGGAAAACCTTTATTGACTGTTCACAACGAAACTGTGATACTCTTCGAAGGACAAAATCTTACCCTAATGTGTGTTGCAAGTGCTGGAAGCCCAAATGGTGAAATCAAATGGATAACAAGTGAGCGGCACACTCATTTCATCTCAACAACGCAAAGGGGTTTGTGTTGATCAAATATTAGCTATGCAAAATTCGTAATATTTTACAGGTCAGTCAAAGGCAGACGGAGCGAACGGAAGTGAATTCAAAACGACCACAGAAATAAAGCCAAACAACCAAATGGTTTCAAATTTAACCCTTTCACTGACGAAAAGCATGAACGGCTTGCAAGTGCAGTGAGTTACTGTGTTTTAACTTGAGCCCAATCATTATTCTAGGACAGAGAGCAAAGCAGCCAAAAGCGGATAGCATGTGCATGCTCATATCATGGTCACATTCGTCCTACTATACTATGAATAAACAGCCGACACGGTTGAGTTTCTGCCGGGTTGTGAAGGCGTTGTCCAGGTTTCCATCAAAGTGCTGCAAACCTCATAAAATAAAGTTAGTACTCAATAACACTTCTCAGCAAGATCAACGCACTGCTTAATTTCATTCGACAAATTTGACTCCGTAATTTCAGACTTAGGTTTCTGTAACTTTATGAAGTTCCGGACAACGGGATTGCTTGAGTAGAGTCACTTTATTAAACTAGTGTATTGGAATATTGGTGACACAAGTTGTACATATACTATCCTGTTATTATGTGCTTAGGTCAATAAGGGTTCAGCTATATTCATTTCCATATTGCAAGCTCAGGCGAAACTATTTTATAAACAACAACTTTGACAGATGCCCATAAAGTATGGGTAAATGTAAACTTCTCCAGCCCAACCTCCAAGCCAAATGTATGAAGTAGTTATCTGCCTTGCATTGCATGTTGATTACCAGCATATTAACGCTAATGTGGTTAGCAACAGACGGGTGGGTTCATCTCAGCTGTTCCAAATTCTACATTCCGGGTGCAACAAATGATTTTCCAGAATTCGTCATTGCTGCGTGATGATACCACTGTCTCATGCAGGATTCCGACTGATTCTCAATAACCAAATTCACTGTTTCAAGGGGAGCAAGAAGAAAGCCCACCATTTGTTTTTGATCAAATAATTACCCATGCATGCTAATTAATGATAAAAGCGCCTAGGCTATGATCAATATGTTAATGCGGAAATCGGTATGTTAGGAAAAGGTTCACAATGTTCTTGTGAGATTTGAATTTTGACACTTCAATCATGTGTCCCAAGAAAGTGTTGCTAGTTTGCTGAATTTCAGATTATGATAAGCTCTAACATAGCTGCAGTGACATAGAGCAGCTCATTCAGTCCAAAATGCGCAAGCCAAATATCGCTTTTGGGAATACAGAAGCGATGGAAGTAAATCCGTATGTAAAACTAAAAGTTTTGCTTCATACCAATCCAAGGTGCTAAATACAGGTAACCACTGAGATGTTCAATAGGGTTTTTTTGTGATCAAACCATCTAAGTGGTATTTCGTTAGTGTTCATATTTCAGCACATGCCAATCATGGAACTAGGCGATTGGAAAATGGTCCAAAATAATATTTTAAAATTCATCATTATGTCAAAGAAAATAGTTCGGTGCATCATTCTGCTGCTTTGGGAAAATGAGCCTTAGGGCTAAAATGGTAATAACATTAGAGAAGACATTCCTTATGCTTTTTCGTTAGGTTGCCCTATTGACAAATAACATGGGTTGAAGTTAAGATTTCTATTGTAAAAACGTTATGGTTTGTATATCCAAAACGGACACAACGATATCTTATAGCATTCAACATCACTAAGTGCGTTGCCGCTGTTTTTGTTTATAACGATTTTCGATAGAGGCTATGCTTGCGTTTACGTAGGTAATAAGGCAAACAGGTGAGCAAAGAAAAGACATCTTTTTATTTTTTTAATTGTTTCCGTCAAGGTAGCAATATACAGAAGGTTAGATGATACAATGAACGCAATCAAGCATTGTCTGGATCGCATATGCTTTAGCGTTACTTGGAGTATGACCTTGAGAATGCGAGAGTGAATGAAACTAAAATGTCCAATAAATCTCATTCCTTTAGTGACTGAGATTTGTGCAATTATCGTTTGATGCTAGGCACAATTACACGAGATGTCGCTTGGTGGGTACCCTAGATACGAAGTGCCAATTTGGTTGCACTCGTTTAGCAAGCAAATCCGTTATCTAGTTGTAATGTCCTTACCATTCGGAAAAATAAGCGTTATGTTAAATAGATGACGTCTCTAAAAAGCAGAAAATTTAGTGTCTAAGTTCAATTATATGACAAAATATTATGCCTTATAGAGATTTTGAAAACTCCTGTATAACAAGAACATTTCGTCTGTAACTGTTTGTGAGAACATTCAAGTAAATGTAACTGGAGCACAAAGTAGTTTCATTTACATTACATATCAGCTATTTGTAAGATGTATTTTGATCATGACATTTATTTTGACATTGGCTAGATGTGCTTCCCTGAATGAAGGATATGAAGAATCGGATGATAGAAGAAGTCAACCCGTTGTACTCTATGTGCTATATGCTGCCAGTGTAATTAACATGAGTGTAACCGATGGATCGGGGCGATCACTACTTTCGCGCGATGCAACAAATATTTTGTACAAATCTAAGAGGGATTCGCCAATACATCTGGATACCTCTCAAATACCTATGGTACTAACAGCAGAAATGGGAACGACATTGTCAGTGACTTGTGAAGTGGATCCATCAAATCCGCCCTCAAGAATATACTGGAGTTTGCATCGCTGTGAAAAAAGTCCACTCTTGCGAATGTTGCACCGTGCTCCTTCAAAATCAGAACAATGTGAATTAACCCACCTGGAAGGTTAGCTATAAACGGATTTGTAACAAGTGATGTATATGCATGATCCAAATTGAAATTCCCTAATTGTTGTGTAAGTTACGTACTTCTAACTGACAAATGAAAGTGCGCAACAACCCGGATTAAGTTGATATCTAAAAATGTGATGCTCATAAATCATATGTGTTGCATCTTCGCAACATTTCACTGGATCATGCAATACAAAAAACATGCAGTCTGTGTATTCTCTCTGAGTCCAGAAGAATTCATCTGGCCATAATATGACTGAAATGCAATGTTACTAGTATGTACAATATTACCTATTCAAAGGTGTGTTTCTCGGTAGCTAAGGATGTAAGGTTGAGTACGGTGAGTACTAAAAGCAGGCATACTAAACACCTCCAAGTAGAAACACAGTAGTAGTAAGCTTAATTTTAAGCTGGTGAGCAAAATACTCTTCGGTCAACAAATGCGTATAATTGACAAATTATAAAAACACGTCAACAACTTCATCTCCCTTTATGCGTCACATAAACTGACTCGCAGATTTTGTGCGTGACAAGATTCATTGTCTTACCTATGCCTGAACGCGCAAATTGAACCAAAGAATTGGTTCAGTGAAATTGTATTAGCCTATTGTGTGGTCGATACGAGTATCGGTCTTGTCCGGTGTGGCAGTATCTCAAACGTGCTAGTTATTGCTAAAGATTCACTGCTGTTAGGAACAAAGTAAATAGGTTTTACAGGAAAATTCTTAGGCCTTATGTTTTTAAACAGTTGTGTTCGATAGTAATACAAGCCATAACCGATTAAGGCTCTTCAAGATCGGCTGTGTTTCGACACAAGTTTGTATTTAGGCCTTTATGAGAAAACGGCACACGCCTAATGCCCTATTACGTTGTAGTGTCAAAACCTAAGGGTTATATGATGCAAAATTTTCAGATTCCATCCCCTAAAATATGTCTGCAGAATATTGCTATTTTGGCACATTTCCGCAGTTCAGAGTTTTAGGATGGATATTGTTAGAGCTGGGGAAAACAAAGACCGGTAGATCAAGCAAATGCATCTTATCAAGTTATTTATGCGCGCTGGAATTTAGGGAACACACCAGCCAATAGGATTACCTGCCAAACAACTCTTGCATGTCGGTGAGAAAGCCGACAGAGTTTGTGTCAGTCAGGTACAGGTATGGGATCCATAGCAATAAGGATCAGAGAGCAATAAATGAACTGCAAACACAAGAGTATAAGGAACGGTAATTACTTATACTGTTGTTGCAAACAGCTGCGAGTGAATAAGTCCCATAGAAATGTAAGAAAGATTAGAGACTGTTTTGCGCTGCATATTCGTAATGATGTACGGATGTACATTGGACAACTGTACATTGGCAACTGATAAAACTCTTGTTTTGGTGCACTTGCTTCAATCTAATATTTTTCTACTAACGAATACACACTGCAAAATACAGGTGAAATGGAGCTCTCGTTGCTTGCCGTGTTTTATTAATTAACTTGATTAATATCATTTGCTTAAAAGCAATACATCATAAGTCATTTCAGCGACACAGTTGCTGAATTAAAAAGCAGCAAGCCTATTTACCAAATGAAGGCAAAATTTCAGATCGCTCTCTTTCTAACGTGCATTTTGTTTATCATTACACAGGTCTAGAGGAAACAGACATCAATGAATTTTCAGTTCGTAGTCAAATCCATCTACCTGTTAACTGGACCCATCACGGTAACACACTTGAGTGCTACACCATACCGTTTTCCCTCTCCGACACTACCTCAGCAAGGAAGAGTAAGATACTAACTTATCCATCGTCCCGTGCGTTAAGCGAAATGACTTTGCTCAATGTCCTCTTCAAGCCAATATTTATTGCGAACGGTATGCAGATATCAGAAGGCTCAGTCCATTCGGAACCGACTGAAATACTGCACCTCGTTACAGTTGAAGGTAAGTGTTACAATACAGTAACCAACTAACTAGATCCAAGTCATTTTCGACCAAATGAATTTCACGGTATATCTTTAGTGTGGCAAAGGATAATGCCTAATTTTCTAAATATTTTGGTACGCCCTGGTGATTAATTTCTGCCTTGCTTAATCATTCGAAGGGAATATGTTTTGTCAATTGCTGCTTTTAATAACACATATCTTTGAAGAATAACCTAAGGCCGTTTTGGAATTGGCTGGTCGTGCTGTATCCGTTCAGGCACTGGATCTTGATTACTAAAAGTATTCCATTAGTGTTAGCAAACAAGTACACCATTTAATTTGGTGTCACTATCACAATTCTTCGTGCCTCACACTGACGGAAGGGTTATTCAGCCGTCCGGTCCCTGGAACGTGTGCTCTTCCGAGAGCAATACGTACAGTAGGCGTGGTAGCGACTCTTGCCTAGCAGATTGAAATTGACAAGACTAGAAAAAAGTGGTAGTCAATCCCTTGGACTAATGAGGTGAAATGTCGTTTTTAATGATGACAATTCCCCACCCAGGTTCATACAATACAGGATGGCAGTATCGTAACTGTCATTTACCAAATATCTTTGTCCTACATTATGTAGCAAAGTAGCCACTGGCTTTTCATGCCTACCTTGAACTCCCAGAATTAGGTTAAAACGAAATGTACATACGTGCTTCAGGCGATGGAACTTGTAAAACATAAGCTTCGTCTGAAAATCGTTTAGTAATGTTGAGACTTACTGCTTCCTGAATATTTCGGCCGCAATATTGTAGATAATTTGGAGAGTTCTCCTACAAACATTCTCCAATGATCAGTGTTCCGCAGTGAGCCCAAAGATGCTTGTACCGTTATAAATTTACGGGTTAGTTCATTTAGTGCGTTGAAACAAACTTCTCTTATGATGGCAACCAAGACCAATTTAAATAATTAGGAGAAAGTAGTAGGCGTGACGTCTAGAAAAACTGGCGACAAAACTTTCTGATTTCCACCGAGCCGCGCGACATTCTAGAAGTTACTAAATATATATTCGCCTTGTGCGCCCACATGACTGCTCCCCGTAGTCATTGTCATTACCTTATGTCAACCACCACATAATTTGATTAACTTGAATTATTCAAACTCATCAGTTAGCGTATAAAGAGAAATCTGCACTTAAATATTTTTAACCCACTTCTTATTTTTGTTGTTTCTGGCCATTAGGTGGAACCTTCAACGTAGACTTAGAGCCAGTGGCCAATCCGCCAGCGCACAAATTTATGTGGTTCAAAAATGACAAGCAATTGACTGGAGATTATCCAGAACTAGTGGAATCTGCAAATCATTCAAGCCCATCTTCACCGAAACGTTTCAGCACCCAGTCGGGAAAGTTGCACATTCTACCTGTGCGCATTGAAGATATGGGAAATTACAGTTTACTTGCAGTAAACACAATTGGAAATGCGCGAATACATTTCTTTCTTAACGTCACATGTAAGGTTCTATATGCCGGTTGTATTTTGCAGTATTTGGTGACGTTGATTTTGACAGCATGCCACTAGTACGCATTCGCTGTTTTGACCCATAGTTTTATTGATTAGTTATTACACGTCAGGTATCTGAAGGCTGAGTATGTTCCTTTAAAAATTTGAAATAACTGTGCTGGACCATGATCATTTAATCTAGAACCCGTGCAATCGGAATTAGGAAGAATGTCGTCAAAACTAAAAACGTTTCCCTACTGGTTACTTATATTTTACTGGCAACGTACGAAACCTACCACCAAGTATATGTAGGCGGGCCTTATATCTCATGCGTCATGTATCAACGAAGATGAAGACTATAAAGACGATGTACATGGTGGTAAAGTATTAGTTCCTGAATCAAAAATCGATGAACGTAACGTGATTTGCATCTGATTGCGTGCATATGTAAAAAAATCCGAAGTTTTATGAATGTATAGTTATTTTGTCCGTGGGAATGATAATCTATGTCCACAAATCGCAGAAAATAACAAAAAAGTATGGATAGTTGTTTTACGTAAGGGCAAGTCTGTACTACATTCCGTTCAGCAATGCGTCAATTGACAACACACTTACTGCATTATTTTAGTTATCCAGTTTCAAAATTAGCGTCAAAGTTGTTAGAAAAAAAACGCTATTACATAATAGATTCTCTTTAGATGCGCAATTAAAATTCTAAGTTTAGATTCAGCAATGGGTAATGAAGCTATCAAAATATATCATGAAAAGATTCCTGAGGTATATCCATCGAATGTGTGAAAAGGCAACAATCCTCAGCAGTAAAATCAATCTAACACAATAAATGTGGCCCTATCCATCAACCGGCAAATAGAAGAATTTACTGCATCGCTGTCTCTTTATAAAGTCAAGCACCACTTCCTCATTAGAAAAGTTAGTTAAAGTAGTTAGGCATTTTCTCTTAGGTCAGCTTTTTATCCCGTAAGATCTGGGCAAAATCTTGAACTACGCAACGGTGTAGGATCAGGAATCAATCAAACAATGCAATAATCCAAGTCATCTATGCATCATGAGCCTATTTAATCTGGCAACCACTAGCGCTATTAAGCAATCTTACATTGACGGAGATTTCCAGCGTATTTCGTAAAATACGAAGTCACTCGTTACACCATCTCGCAATAATTTTTCTCGTAATACTGGCGTGTGACAGTCATGGCTTTATGAAACTTTCAGTGGTAAACCCATGGCTTACCTACGCGTCAGACTTCTAGTAGGAATATCGAAACCATAATGCCTTACTGTACCGGATCGGGTGGATAACCTTGGCGTGTTGCTATAGCGACAGGAAGTACCGAACTTTTGTCAGTATTGGTTAAAATCATCAAGTGGTTATTAATAACAAAAATATTGGAGCCGGATCATCTTTATAAAGTGTCGGAAGAGCCTCGTAATTCCTAGAATCGATTTTATACCACGAAGAGATCTATAAACGTAAATAAACACACCTAGACTTTACGTTCTTTCAAATTTTGAGTTATATTCATGAAAATATAATTAGTCTGCCATCAGAGAAGCGAGAGCTGCAAATAAGTTTTTTGTCGCCAACGTTGTTTGCATTTTGCTGCATTATATCCCTGCAATGTTATGAACATAATGCTTTCGCTCAACACCGGATTGCCCTAAATAAGATAGAATAACAGCAGACTGCAATTAAGTTTGGAAAGCAGCACCGCCTATGTGGACATGGTACGTTTCCTTCCAAAGTGTTGCAGATATTCCACTATTTCTCTATATTGAATAAACTAGCAAGATACAGGTGAAATCCGAGTTGCTCTACCAAAACCTCTCTGCATGTACGAATTTTCATCCACACAAAATAATTTATAGACCTTATTCATGATGAGATCGACTTTTTGCTATGCCCACAATTAGTTCTTATGTTTTGTGCTGCTTGGAATCAAACCATGTGTGACAGCTGTGAACAATAGTGGAAATGGATGAACATCTTCTTTATGCACAGGTATTTGTCCACAATACGTCCACCAGGCGTACCAAGGCTACCGTCGATTGACAACGCATTAGCGAACATCGACTACGAGAACAACTGTATCTGATTAAATTGATATAGTGCAAGCAGATCCACAAGGCAACGGATGTATAGTTACATGCTGCAGCTATGACGTCAATAATGTATTTCCGGAACTGTAATCACCCAAGTTCCAAAGTCTCACTTGATGTGAGCAATCTTGGTTGCATACAAACACACGCCAATACTGAGGGTAGCGACACTTGGACGTAATCAGTGATGGACAGGTTTACCAACGGGTAACTATTAGTGAGGGCACGTGCAAGGAAACAGTCTACGTTATACTTCCTGGATACTTAAAATTACTGACCTGCTTTCAGTTTCTGCCATTTTGGTACGCAAAAAAATATCATGAAACCAACAAGTTTAATTCGGGGATGCTCATTTAAACGTACAACCAGGAAAACATCCTTCATTGGCATACCCATACTTTAATAGCAATGCAGCATTTCTCTTGAAACCGGCTAAAACCATAGAGTAATCATAACGTAGTCTTAGCTAATTATTTTAATACACTGTTCAATACAGAATATATTAGAAATAGGATTAGTAACTACATAAAGATATGAACTGCGATCCATCGCTGTTGTAATTCGTCTAGAGCAATCGCATTTCTGGTGCTGTCATCTGGTTCAGCTAGGTCTATGGTTGTAAACCAGTTGACTATTTTTTTCGAAGGTTACTATGCAGTGTATCCACAAGTGTACCACATTCAAATCCAACGTGAATTCGGCAGTATTCCATCATGCCACTTATCTGAACAATTAGTGTATGGTCCAGGAAATGGAGTTCTTATAACCACATGCATCTAAAATCAAAAATAAAGTGATGTTCGTCTCCACGCAACATTGCTTCACCATCTAATGCCCTTTATAATGAAAATAGAGTTAGGGACTTGTTTCCAAAGCGTATTACGAAATATCTCGGTAGGACTGAAAATGCATTCACTAAGTATAACACTTATCTCCTAATTTACTACGAGAAATTGGCTGTGGTTCTCTTAAAATAATGTTCTATATAATGACAGCTCATCCTGTCTGTAAGCTGTTTAAAACTTGCAGAGCGACGGAAACGTTTCACTATTCATACTATTAATTATATATGTACAATATGGTAATGGATCTTCGAGTATGAACATGGTTTACTTGTGACGAAATAGGGCACTGTGAAGAAGCATTTAAATCATCCGCTACCGTCTTCGTAGAACAACACGTTTTGCATTGTCTACTGTATATATATATATACTAGTGTTACAAGAATAAGCTGAGGGATATTTGGTTCAACCAGCTTCCAAGGCCACTGACACCAATCAGCTCTATCCAAGCCTTGGATACAAAGGTTGATATATCGCGCAAGATCCCCGATTCATTGTCTTTAAACAAATGATTTTAGGTCCATTGAAATGAAGTATGAATAAAGGTTTTAGTGCAACCTGTTCCCTTTTGTGCGGATGCAAATCCTGGAGATTTAGTTCAGGATTACAGGAAGTTGCTCGAAAGATTTATGACTATGCACCCTTCACAATATTTCATCCATTGGTATATTTAACAAATATGATAGTACCCTTTTAATAGATTTACATTTGCTGATTTACAATGCTGGAAATGTACCTTGTTTGTAAGGGAAGCTTATGCTGACTTGACTTGAGGCGCATTTATCAGGTGGTTTTCGGCACCATCTCTAGTTAAAGTTTCACGCACTAAAATGTTCTTCTAATCCTAGAGAAAGATAAATTTGTGATTAAGACTATTCTACTCGCGTGGATTCACTACACACGTCTGATAGTCGTTGACTCTCTCCAGATTAACGAAATTTCCTCAAAGCATTGGACGAATAATAATAATAATATGTATATTTCCCGATTGTAAGCAAAGCTGTTCCTGAGTTGTGGAACGATCATGGGTACAATATTTATCATGATCATGCATGAGTGAAACATATAATATGTGTGATATCAAAATAAATTGGAAGCACCTAACGTTTGTTACTGCTGAGTTCCTTTTACCATCTTTAATCATTGATTACATATTACTTGGTCCATGCTGAAAGAACTCGTGTGGTGATTTACCTGATGGGAACATGGTCATTATCGAGTTCCGGTCAAGGAATTTGCTAAACTGCATGTAGAATGCTCTTGTATTTGTGTGAGACCTGATTGTGGCTGGTAAGCTATTTCACACGACAGTGTATCTGACATGGAAGAAGTTTGATCGGATAGCTGTCCTGCTTCTCCGTACACATAATGTACAGGTCATGTTGCGTATATTCCGAGTGAAGTTATGTTGCATTTTAAGTGTACACAGATTGGAGTATGTCTTTTGGTCTATGAGGTTGTGTATCAGCATCAGGTTATGTTTCAGTCGTCTCAACCAAAGAGGTTCGAGCTTAAGCTGGTGGCAGCGCTTTTGATAACTCGAGGTGGTTAAGTTACTAAACAAGCGCTGTGAATGATATTTGCAGGTTTTCTAAAGTTTTCCTGTCACCTATCCACATGTCCCCATAGATGAAGTTGAGGAATTCAAAGAGAGGAATTGTAAGTATTTTGAAAAGACCAGGTCTGGAAGGGGTTGTATAGCTTTTATGCTATATGTTAGCCACAGATCTTTTGGCACATGCTATTTGGTACTCCGCTTGCTCTGAGAAATTAAGGATTGAAGAGGATCGTATGCCTAGATCACAGTTGGATAGTTTCCCATGGATACGTTCAATGTCCAGTTTAACAGAATCTGCAGGGATTAAAAATCGTGTGATATATGCTGAATTTACAAGCTGATAAATTTAGCATCTATGTGTTGCACCATTTATCAGCTAAATCGAGGTCTTCCTAAACGGACAGCATTGCGCTATTGAGTTCGCCTCGTCGAAATTTATAGACAATGTTTACGTCATCGACGAACAAAAATGGCTTGCCATATTTGATGAACTTC